AAACTCAAGAAATTCGGGAACCACCGGAAAACGCAGTGAAAAAGACAGTGTTTTGAACACCGATTATAGATAAGAATCTTTCATCCTTTCTTCCATTGCAATTAATTAAAGTTTAAATAATAATAAACAGTAAAATTTGTGAATATTAACAACCTTTTATTAATTAAATACAGCTCACCGATGGAGCCGTTAACTGGTCAATGTATAGTTTATCTGTGTTATCTATTTATTTCTTTATTGCCTTAATTGCTTACTGTTATATTGTGTGCTTTAATTTATTGATTTTAATTGCCTTCTCATTTATTAGTTTACTTAACCGTTTTATCCCTATCTGTTAATTAGTTTGAAATAAATGTCCTAACTACACTTTTTTTGGTTATTAAGGTATCAAATTATATTGTCTATTTAATTGTCATTCTATTGTCCTGTAATTATAAAATAAGATTATTATATGGAATTGATGGCTGGTTGTTGAAAATGATATATATGTGGAAGACTTACATGGTGTCATGGAAAAAGGTGTACAAATTTGGTACATAGGGCAAACCCTACCGTGGATATTAATTTAATTGAACAGGGTTGAGAAGTCTCATATCAGAAGGAGTTGGGAAGTATTTGTTCACACTCATACCAGACGGGGTATTGATGCAATGGTATGTTTGACGCCTATTACGGAACGGATATGAGGACGACCAGTTAATTAATAGATTGGATATTAGGTCCAAGTGTAATGGGAACCCTTATGGACTCCCAGAGACACCGGTAAATAAATAAAAAGATAAAGTTTGATTATTATTATTTTTTTAGTATGTCTAATGCATTACTATCTTGATTCTTCATTCACAAATCGTATTTGGGAACCTAAAAGATGAGTATAAAATTAACGTTTTTTAAAAATTTATGTAACGCCCGGAAATTTGAAATTTTTTTTTATTATTTTATTATTAATTATTTTAATTAGGTTAAAAAAAACGTCACGTCAGCAGACCCAGTCAGCAGTCCCGGCCAACCAGGACCTGCCACGTGGCAAAACCACGTCGACCGGGGACGAGCCACGTTGGCGATCCGCGTACGCACGATCGGACGGCCCAGATCTAGCGTGCGTACGGACGGCCCAGATTCAATCAAAAACAGACGGCCCAGATTAAATCAAAATGGACGGCTGAGATCAAAAGGCAAAAAGGTATAAATAGAACCCCCACACCTGACCACAAAAACCCTTGCCGCCTGCTCTCGCCGGAGAAGACGAACCAGACGCCGGAGACGCCGGCCGCCGCCACCCGCCGCCGCACCGGGGAGATTTCCGACCGCCGATCGAGGTAAATTTCATACCTCTAACTCGTTTTTCCACGCTGATTTCCCCTGTGGCCAAATCGAAGCCAAAATCCCAGCCAAACGGCCGGAAAACACGGCCGAAACCCAACGGCGCCGCCGCGCCCCTCCTCGGTTTTTGCCTCCGATGAGGCCCTTCCCGGCCTCTGTTTAATGCAATTTTTATATCACCGTGATCACCATTCTTTTCTCTACAGGTTTATCGGAGCCGAATCACCAAAACACAAACCTCACCGGAGAGCCGCCGCACCCGAGAGCACCGCCGCCGGTAAGCTTCGATTTTCCATAATTTTTTGGCCCCCCGAGGGCCCTAGGGTTGTTTTATCGCAAGGACCGATGCAAGTGTGGCCAAATTCGGCCGGAAACGACCGAAAACGGCCAAACCGAGGCGAATCGCCGCCGCTGTCGCCGGAGCACGGCGGAGCCGCCGTGCTGGAATTGCGATATTGGCCAAAAAAGGGTCCTGGGCCTAATTTGGAATTTTTTGGAACACGTGCAGGTACCAGTAGTGCGTTTCAGTTCCCCGAAAAAAATTCAAAAAAAATTAGGGACAGCCTGTAGGCGCACTGTGAAGCCGTGTTCGGACCCCGAAACGAGTAAGGACCCCTCACCCTATTTCCTATCACGGTATTAAAGTTCAATAATGATAAAACGGTATTTCTTGAATCAACGAATGTGTGAAATTGCTTAAGGTCGCTAATGGAGCCCGAATCTAGTGTGTTTGTCGGTTAACTGTTATTTGGCCTATTTTACAGTTTTAAATGCAGTATGAGGTTTGATGTTTTCATTTTATAGTTTCGTGTGCATATTTTACTGTTTTATTGATTATGGATTGAATGACTGGGACATTGATGCTGTATATTGTCTGTTTGGCATAAATTACTGTTTTACTTGTTTGTATATGGATTAATGATGCTGACTGAGGAAAAAGAGAATGAAAGATTATGTAAATGGGTAATTGTATAATGTGGTCAGCCTGACTAGATATCTTGGGAGATGGTGGACGGACCGGGTCCGTAGGGAACCCTACCGGGATTGTGGTCTCCCATACCGGACGGGGTATGGAGATCTTATGTGTTTTGGCGCCCA